ATGGGGCGCTGCCACCATTGATTTGAGACTTCCTGGTTGGACACCCACAGCTTAGCTTACGATCTGTGGCGCCGGACTAGCCATTCAGCGTGAGTTTATTACCACCACTTCCTGAAAAAGAAAAGCACTACAGTTTATATATATATATATAAATATATAGTATATATATATATATATATATATATATATATATTAGTATATATAATAATCTAGGGAGCAGGATCTTCAGGGTCGAGAAAGGTTTGAACCCCTGACACAATAAAATCACACAGATTGCACCACAAACGAGGTATAATTACATAACTTTAGTGGCATAAGTTAATGACAGAAACCAAAGATATTAGAATCCACACCTTTTACAATAGAATAATCAAACAACAATTAGGAAACTTTACAACACATCAACTCATGTAATGAACACATAATTTACTTCAAACAGTATACTCTGACATAATTACCCTAAACTACATGGAATCACGTCGGAAACAATTAATTATATCTAAATTTGTGCTAGTCTAATACATTGCACGTGAAATCAAAAATTCAATTTTACAACCTCTCGCTTCAAGCATATTACATGCTAAATGACAGAAGTGTGCAAGTGCACATCTAATTTACAATTTAACTGGTCTGAAAATAGCGAAACTAATATAATGTCCTAAGTTAGAAGTTTTTAGCAGGCGAATAGCGCATCAAAACGTCCCACTATAATACGTGTTAATTTGTTGGCCACCCGTTGTCTAATCCTTGACACTTTCCTTATAGTTTTCCCTCCGACGTGAAACTTGACCTATTTTGCTGCGGATGCCTTAACTGTTACCATCTGGACTTTTGTCCCTCGATGTCGATGCGCTGGTCTCTGCCGGCTTGACGCCGTTCCGGTGCCGCCTCTGCGTCGTAAGAGAGCGGGATTCTGCCCTGCCGGCTGCAGTTGCCTTCTTGGCGTCCCAACCGTTCTTCCCCTCCCAACGTGGTCCGTCATTCTTCCACCAGCCTGGATTCTCGGCTCTTCTTCTTTCCTCGTCTGCCTACCGCGCCTCTGACTAGGCCCACGTTGCGAAAAATGTCCCTGAAACTTCACTGAATAACGTGCAAGTTCCTCGTCGTACATACTGTCTAACTTTTACAATGCCAGAACTTTTAATGTTTCCTCACACGGGTAACATTTTACTTCCCGTGTTGTTAATTGAGAAACACTACTAATCTGCACTATCTCGCGGCACGACTAACTAGAACGTCGTTCGACGCCAGATAGTCTACATATAGTCGGTTGCCAACGAAAAAATATCTAATGCTTTAAACAGAAAATGTTGACTCGTGCAACGAGTGATCAAAGAGCAGCTGCTTAGTCGAACGCGGGTGACCAGAAGAGAGCTTCCGCTCTGCGGGTTTCGCATGTCAATATTTTTATGGTCATCGGCTCCGTGGAGAAGATTTGTGTTGGCGCATGGGCTGGAAAGCGACGTTGCAAGGCAGTGACGTCATGCTAGATGCGGATATGAAGTTGTGGGGAATGGAGCGGCTCGCCAGGTGGCCAGACGACGTCCTGGGTTCCGAAGAGCCCCCGGTTGTGACGAGCAAACGAGGCCGCACGTAGAGGTGACGTCTCTGATTGATGCTCTCTGATGAAGGCCCGTCGCTAGGTGGAGAGGCGATATCGCTGCTCGAGGGCGTCACGTAGAGTGTAAACGTGCTACAGGTACTTTTCTTTCGAAGAATAGCTATAACATCGAATAAGGCAATATAAATTAACAATGTTAATTAAATTAAATTAAATTAATAATGTTTCTAGGCAAAAAATAAATACCCAAGAAAGTAAAATTCGGTGTCGTTTTTAATTAAACTATGGTAAAGTAATTATAGGAAGTTATCAGCTTGAACAATAATGGAGAAGGACAGGATGGAAAAAGGTGAAAGTTTTCATATTTTAAAAATGCCATTGAATTAATGCAAATTAGATGTTTAAGGTAATGTATTTTTTTCCCAAAATTTAATTTAAAAATATTAGCCTTTTTAGTTATTCATTTTCTGACTGCATATCTCTCACTTTTCCCCACAATTAAACGTTTTAAATACCTTTTGTGAGCCACTAACGTAAATAATATATGAGATGAGTACCACGCTAGAGCTCAAAAGCTGTTAATCTACTCCATTTATTCTAAAGATTCCAATTTATCTATCTACATCTATCCTTTCAACTATTCATCCGTTCAAAACAATTATTCCATTTGCATTGATCCACCAATTCATTCATCTACATCCGTCGACATCCAATCATCCACTTGGAACAGTAATATGATGAGACCACCATATTTACATTTAAAAATATTGTGAAGAATGTTGCCATCAGCACGTCCTAGCTTGTTTCTACACTAGTCCTACAATTCCTAAAATTGAATTTGTTACCTAAAGAAAAAGATTAAGCTTGCTGCTGTTATTTGAATTTACATTTAAGCTCATAAACAAACTTATAAGCACATTGGAAGTAACCATTTTAAACTTTCAATCAAATAAACACGTTTCATTCGTAACTTTTCTTAATATGGTTATAGGAAAGAGGAAGGGATACTGGGGAAGAGGGTGGAATTTAACACAAGTCCACTCACGGGTACTCTAGTCTTTGCTGTATTTTAAAAAATGGCCGAACGTTAAAATTCTAAAATTAATTATTTGAAAAAATATATTTAAAAAAACTTTTCTAAAATTGTAGATCTTTACAAAGATAATGAATACTTAAAAAAGTGTTTTCTTGTAATGTTTGCTTGAAGTTAAAGAAATTAAAAAAAGACATTTTCTCAACAACTGTTTCAATGTTTTTCATCGATTTTATTTTCTCGGTACTGATTGTGCAGTACTGAGAAACATATAATGTTGCGGGAAAAAACCTCGAATTTTCGGAAATGAATTATGTCATGATATTAAAAAAAAGACTGCAGGAGATCGATCCTATGCGACTCTCTAAAGCACAAGGAAATATATGATAATGAAGATTCGCAAAAAATAATTCGAACATTCTAGGAATTTTGTTAATTTCCATAATGCTTGGTTTGTATTATGCGTTCATTGTTATGCCGCTGGAAATAGGACTTATATCAAACAGCAAAAATTAATTTTAGTAGATTTAACAGATTGAATGAATAGTTCACATAAAACACTTGGTGCTGTTAAAATGTGCTATTGGGCGGCAATCAATTTACTTTACTTCAAATTCATCGAAATCACAAAAAACGACAATACGCCCAGCCCCGTTGACAGACGCTGTGGAGTGGCACGGCTGCAGGTTTGCATTTCGCACCCGGAAGTATCTTTAAACTTAGTTTTATATCAATTAAGACAATTTTTATTTCGGAAAAACGGACCTGCCATTCTTCACGAACGTCAAATCAGAATCTAGGGTATTTGTTTGAAATAGTGGCTTCTGGACTTTCTGAATAAGGCAGTCGCATCATAAAACAAAGATGCAATGATCCCAATTGAAATTATCCCAATGGGGTTTCTCCCTTAAGCACATATCTTAAATGTAATATGAAAAATATGCAACGATAGAAAATTTAGTGTTACCAAGTTCCATACGATCAATATAATGGTATATTTAACTTTAATATTCAACTCAAATAATGTCAGGAAAAATGTATGTACAGATATGCATGAAGTAATGATATTGAATATTCGAATTCAGTGATAATGCGATTAACTGGATGGCATGTAGTTTTGGATGTTCAATTTATTCGTTAAATATTCTCTCTTTTTCTGTATTACGTTCTAGAAATGAAACAAATATTTATAATGGTATTTGTTCATTTACAAGTATATATTTTTCAACTTTTTCAGATCTAACATTGTAAGTTGAATTTGTTTCTGAAGGCGAGTATCTTGAAAGTTTAAAGGTTTGCGTCGCCATTCTTTTTTTGCACAGTGGGCTATCTATTACTGTTTACTTTCTAATTGAAGATATTCATTATTAAGAGACTGATTTTGTTCATTATAGAATGGAGTACAAGAAAAAAAATAATTATATATTTTCAAACTAGAATCAATAATGCTCCAGAAAGAATGTCTTGTAAATCCACAACAATGAAAACGGTTCCATTGAGGCCAAGTACGGTCCATTTAGCAGGAATTGATAATTCTATATGTCTCCATATTTGGCAGCTGCCGTATGCGCGCATTGTAGCCATCGCCCAATGACTGAGATGCGTTGATATATACAGAAATTGAGGGATAATATATTACATAACCATTACTAAAGGCAACAAATATATGTTATTAAAATACAAGTTATCAACCGTAGTTTTTCTAGATGATAGATCAAAGGACTTTTAAGAATGGCGCCAATTTCACCGACGCTGAGGTCTGAATTTTTCGAAAAGTGTATGAGTTATAATTAATGAGAAGAAATATGTGTTGCTCCAGAACCATTAGCATGACCAGCAGTTTCAGTGCAATTTCCAGCATTTGTATCTCCGTATGGTTCCAGAAATACGTTACCTTGTGAAAGTGTTGAGCGAAGAGGTGTCTGCGTCGTTGCGCTGCTCCGGTCCCTGCGCGTGGCTCTCGGGGGCGGGGGAGGACTGGGAGGCGCCGGCACTGGGTGCTGGAGGGGAGCCCTGGCTGCTGGCCTTGCCCCCTCGCAACAGCAGCCTTTCCAGGGCGATGAACGGGGCTTCGATGAGGATGGAGATCGGCAGCGCCAAGGCGATAGTCAACACCACATCAGCCACGATCAGCGGGATCTAACGGAAAATTAAGTATTCACTCTGAAGAAATAGTAGTAGTGCGCAATACATGGATATGATATTAATTTACGAAAATTGTTAATTTGAAACAACTGATATTTTTATAAATTAACGCGGTTCAGTCATCAACTTGCAATGTTTCTATATTCAAATTATCAAGTATTGTCGACATGTGTACTGTGCGAAGACAACTAGAATCTTAATTGTTATTTTCAGCCATAGCCTACGGCTATACTCTCCTCCTCTGTTTTGTGTTCTTTTTTTAATGAGTGCTCTAACAAAACTTTCTTCTCAACAAAAATAATAAAACATTTGAAAGGATTTAAAATGTTCAGTTAATAAGTTTAAGGTCTATAGTTTCTTTTAGGACTTATG